GGGGGCTGGGCCCAGCCACAGCCGCCTCCTCTCTGTTCAGTAAGGGAGGTGCTGGGGGAGGGGTATTTCAGGGGGTGAGGTTAACCCTTTGTGGGAAGGGCATTGGGTGCCAGAGCCCGTTGCCCCCGTCAGCTGCTGAGTCAGGTTGGTTCCCAGCTGGGAGGTTTGTTTCTGATCCTCATTCTGGCTCCAGTTCCTTTGTTCTCAGGCAGTTTTCTCGGGAACTCGCCTCCGGACTCAGTCTCCGCGTGTGTCCCGTACGGTGGCATTCCGCTCGGTTTTTTACATAAAGATGGTTTTTATAGCGAGACGCGCTTTGGCTCTTCGGCCCTGCAGCGCTACCTAGCCGGGGATCTCAGAGCACCCTGTGAATTGAGTGAGCCTCAGAACAACCCACTCCCCAGTGGGTCAGGTGTAGGATGATCCCCGTTTCACACATGGGGAAACTGAGGCACAGCAATAACTTGCCCTCGGTCGCTCCGCCCCTCGGCTCCAGGGCTGCTGGCTGCTCTCCCGTGGGGCTTGGCTGGGGAGCCCAGCGAGGGCTCCTTGCCTTGCTGCAGAGGCTCTGCAGTGCCAGGAGCTGGCTGGCTGCGGCGCGTTGGGGCCAGCAGTGCGGCTCAGGCGAGGCTCAACACCACGGTGAGGGGCACCAGCCAACGCAGCCCCCCCCCCGCCTGCCAATGCTCTGCGGGAATCGCTGGCCTGGGCCGAACCTCCCTGGCCAAGTGGGGGGGGTGGCCCCTACAGCGAGGTCACTGAGCTAGAACCAGGAAGCAATGGGAGGGCAGGGAGCTCAGCCCCACCCGGCTCCCTGCAGTGGGGCCCGAGCCAGACGCCGGTGCCTTTGATTTAGAGGGTGGTTAAGTGCCCGGGGCTGGGCCAAGCACCCGGCTCGTGCCAGCTCATGCTCTTAGTTTAATAAGGGACTCTTCCCCCCCGCCCCCTTAACAGGCTGCGACAGCCCAGCCGAGGCTCCAGCCGCCAGCTGCCCTGAGTGCCGGAGGCCTCCCCTGGTCGGAGCCCAGCCAGGCCCAGGAGCCGGCCATCGCGGGCCTGGGGGACCATGTCTCCTCCCTGATCCCCGTGCCCATGGTGCGAACGTGGGGTCACCTGGGGAGCTGGCAGGAACCCTTCCCAGCCCCGCTGTGCTCAGTCCAGGGCCCAAAGCCCGGGGCATATTCCCCGTCCCCTCCCCTCTCCCAGCAGAAACCAGCCTCTGCCCTGGCCTCTCCCGCCCAGCGTCCCTTCCCAGGGGGTCGGCTTCAACCCAGAACAACAAGAGGCTAAAGTCCATCTCGGCCTGGTCTCCTCCCCACCCTGCTCAGCTCGGTCCTGTGAGGTTGGTTGGCAGGAACCTTGGTGCTTTAGGTTGGGCATATTCCCCGTCCCCTCCCCTCTCCCAGCAGAAACCAGCCTCTGCCCTGGCCTCTCCCGCCCAGCGTCCCTTCCCAGGGGGTCGGCTTCAACCCAGAACAACAAGAGGCTAAAGTCCATCTCGGCCTGGTCTCCTCCCCACCCTGCTCAGCTCGGTCCTGTGAGGTTGGTTGGCAGGAACCTTGGTGCTTTAGGTTGGTAGCGACACAGGCTCACAGAAGCCCCCTTGGGGTTGTCCCTGGTCATGCCTCTGATGCCCCCTTCCTGCCATTGCCCCGTCCTGCTGGGCAGATCCTCTGCTCTCCTCCAGAGACGCTGCAGCGTCAGGGTAACTGCCCCCTGCACAGCAGCTGTGTGGGCGCCTGCACACCTGGTGGGATTGTGCAGCTCGGCTGGGTGCTCGGGGTGTTTGCCAGCGCTCACAGCCCAGGGGCTCAGCGTCTCGACGGGAAATCTGCCCTCGGGGGTTCCCGCAGGCCCCTGGGGAAAGCCAAAGAGCAAGGTCAGCACGTGGCTGGGAGCTGTGTCCAGTTATTAGTGTCTAGGTTTTTCCAGCCACCCCCCCCAGCCCCTCCCCGCGGCCTCTGATCCCTTCTCAGACTCAGAACTTCAGAGACATTTGCTGGCTGCCAGCTGTGCCCGGCAAAGGCTGCTCTGGCTCCTTGGCACACGCCTACCACCCCTTGGCAAAGCCCAGCTCCACCCTGCGTGGGGGGCATCTCCGGGGGGGCAAGGGGGCTCCACCCTGCGTGTGGGGGCACGTGGGTGGGGCAAGGGGGCTCCACCCTGCGTGGGGGGCAT